TGGCTAGTGCTCACGGGCTTCCAGCCTTGCCTCCGTGCTGCCTCCTCATATCGCCTCCTCTCGGCTTTAGCTGCCTCCAGCTCTTCACGAGGGAGGCGAACTTCTCCCGGTTGTGTCCAAGGACCCTTTCCATCCAGTATCTCCTCCCATGTCCATGAATCCTGTGTAGGTGGGTCCTGTTGCCGCTTGACACGCCGCTTGGTCCTAGATTGGTGGGTAATTCTGTCACGATCGTCAAGCATAGAGGAGGACCAAGGCGCAGCGTGTGCAAAATACATCTCTTTAATTTTGGAAGAGAGAAAAACACGAAACCGAACACTATCCAAAACTTACAAAACAACAAAAGACCGTGAAGCTAAATAACGTAAGTGCACAGACAAGCAACAAACGTTCAACATAGACAATTACCCACAAACACATGATGCCCATGGCTGCCTTAAATATGGCTCCCAATTAGAGACAATAAACCACAGCTGTCTCCAATTGAGAACCAATCTAGGCAGCCATCAACATACAAACACCTAGACAAGACATTACCTCATAAACCTACAAACCCCTAGACAACCCAAAACACATACTTCACCATGTCACACCCTGACCTAACTAAAATATAAATGAAAACAAAGATAACTAAGGCCAGGGTGTGACAATAGCCCTATTTGGTAAAAGATCAAGACCATATTATGGCAAGAACAGCTCAAATAAGCAAAGAGAAACGCCAGTCCATCATTACTTTAAGACATGAGGGTCAGTCAATCCGAAAATAGTACAGTCGCAAAAACCATCAAGCGCTATGATGAAACTGGCTCTCATGAGGCCCGCCACAGGAAAGGAAGACCCAGAGTTACCTCTGCTGCAAAGGATAAGTTCATTAGATTTAACAGCCTCAGAAATTGCAGCCCAAATAAATGCTTCACATAGTTCAAGTAACAGACACATCTGAACATCAACTGTTCAGAGCAGACTGCGTGAATCACGCCTTCATGGTCGAATTGCTGCAAAGAAACCACTACTAAAGGACACCAATAAGAAGAAGAGACTTGCTTGGGCCAAGAAACATGAGCAATGGACATTAGACCGGTGGAAATCTGTCCTTTGGTCTGATGAGTCCAAATTTGAGATTTTTGGTTCCAACCGTCATGTTTTTGTGAGACGCAGAGTAGGTGAACGGATGATATCCGCATGTGTGGTTTCCACCGTGAAGCATGGAGGAGGAGGTGTGATGGTGTGAAGGTGCTTTGCTGGTGACACTGTCTGTGATTTATTTAGAATTCAAGGCACACTTAACCAGCATGGCTACCACAGCATTCTGCAGTGATACGCCATCTGGTTTGCGGGTAGTGGTACTATCATTTGTTTTTCAACAAGACAATGACCCAACACACCTCCAGGCTGTGTAAGGGCTATTTGACCAAAAAGGAGAGTGATGGAGTGCTGCATCAGATGACCTGGCCTCCAAAATCACCCGACCTCAACCCAATTGAGATGGTTTGGGATGAGTTGGACCGCAGAGTGAAGGAAAAGCAGCCAACAAGTGCCTAGCATATGTGGGAACTCATTCAAGACTGTTGGAAAAGCATTCCAGGTGAAGCTGGTTGAGAGAATGCCAAGAGTATGCAAAGCTGTCATCAAGACAAAGGGTGGCTACTTTGAAGAATCTCAAATATAAAATATATTTTGATTTGTTTAACACTTTTTTGGTTACTACATGATTCCATATGTGTTATTTCAAAGTGTTGATGTCTTCACTATTATTCTACAATGTAGAAAATACTAAAAATAAAGAAAAACCCTTGAAAGAGTAGGTGTGTCCAAACTTTTGACTGGTACTATATACAGTATATATATATATATATATATATATATATATATATATATATATATATATATATATATATATATATATATATATATCACATTCCCAGTGGGTCAGAAGTTTACATACACTCAATTAGTATTTGGTAGCATTGCCTTTAAATTGTTTAACTTGGGTGAAACGTTTTGGGTAGCCTTCCACAATCTTCCCACAATAAGTTGGGTGAATTTTGGCCCATTCCTCCTGACAGAGCTGGTGTAACTGAGTCAGGTTTGTAGGCCTCCTTGATCACACACGCTTTTTCAGCTCTGCCCACACATTTTCTATAGGATTGATGTGAGGGCTTTGTGATGGCTACTCCAATACCTTGACTTTGTTGTCCTTAAGCCATTTTGCCACAACTTTGGAAGTATGCTTGGGGTCATTGTCCATTTGGAAGACCCATTTGCGACCAAACTTTAACGTCCTGACTGATGTCTTGAGATGTTGCTTTAATATATCCACATAATTTTAATTTCTCATAATGCCATCTATTTTGTGAAGTGCATCAGTCCCTCATGCAGCAAAGCACCCCCACAGCATGATGCTGCCACCCCCCATGCTTCATGGTTGGGATGGTGTTCTTCGGCTTGCAAGCTTTCCCCTTTTTCCTCCAAACATAACGATGGTCATTATGGCCAAACAGTTCTATTTTTGTTCCATCAGACCAGAGGACATTTCTCCAAAAAGTAAGATCTTTGTCCCCATTAGCAGTTGCAAACCGTAGTCTGACTATTTTATGGCAGTTTTGGAGCAGTGGCTTCTTCCTTGCTGAGTGGCCTTTCAGGTAATGTCGATATAGGACTCGTTTTACTGTGGATATAGATACTTTTGTACCTGTTTGCTTGCAAGCCGAAGAACACCATCCCAACTGTGATGACAGCATCATGCTTTGGGGGTGCTTTGCTGCAGGAGGGACTGGTGCACTTCACAAAATAGATGGCATCATGAGGAAGGAATATTATGTGGATATATTGAAGCAACATCAAGACATCAGTCAGGACGTTAAAGCTTGGTCGCAAATGGGTCTTCCAAATGGACAATGACCCCAAGCATACTTCCAAATTGTGGCAAAATGGCTTAAGGACAACAACATCAAGGTATTGGAGTGGCCATCACAAAGCCCTGACCTCAATCCTATAGAAAATGTGTGGGCAGAACTGAAAAAGTGTGTGCGAGCAAGGGGGCCTGCAAACTTGACTCAGTTACACCAGCTCTGTCAGGAGGAATGGGCCAAAATTCACCCAACTTATTATGGGAAACTTGTGGAAGGCTACCCAAAATGTTTGACCCTAGTTAAACAATTTAAAGGCAATGCTACCAAATACTAATTGAGTGTATGTAAACTTCTGACCCACTGGGAATGTGATGAAATAAATAAAAGCTGAAATAAATCATTCTCTCTACTATTATTCTGACATTTCACATTCTTAAAATAAAGTGGTGATCCTAACTGACCTAAGACAGGGGATTTTTACTAGGATTAAATGTCAGGAATTGTGAAAACTGAGTTTAAATGTATTTGGCTAAGGTGTATTTGGCTAGGACTTCAACTGTACATCCTTTACAGACCGTATACATGCAACATATAGTAACAAAGTACATTAACCCTGTACAGTGCCTTCATACCCCTGGACTTATTCCACATTTTGTTTTTACAGACGGAATTCAAAATTGATTAAAAAAAATTATAATTCGGCCATCTACACATAATACCCCATTATGACAAAGTGAAAACATGTTATTAGAAATGTTTGCTAATTCATTGAAAATTAAATACAGATATCTAATTTACATAAGTATTCACACACCTGAGTCAATTACATGTTAGAATCACCATTGGCAGTGATTAGAGCTGTTAGTCTTTCTGGGTAAGTCTTTAAGAGCTTTGCAAACCTGGATTGTACAATATTTGCGCATTATTACAAAGAATAGTATTAGTGCTCTGTCAAGTTGGTTGTTGATCATTGCTAGACAAGTCTTGCCATAGATTTGTCAAGCCGATTTTAAGTCAAAACTGTAACTAGGCCACTCAGGAACATTAAACGTCGTCTTGGTAAGTAACTCCAGTGTATAATTGGCCTTGTGTTTTAGGTTATTGACCTGCTGAAAGGTGACTTTGTCTCCCAGTGTCTGTTGGAAAGCAGACTGATCCAGGCTTTCCTCTAGGATTTTGCCTGTGCTTAGCTCTATTCCTTTTTAACCTAAAAAACTGTGACAAGCATACCCATAACATGATGCAGGCACCACCATGCTTGAAAACATGGTACGTTGTGTTGGATTTGCCCAAACATAACGCTTTTTATGCAGTTTTACTTTAGGATGCATGTTTTGGAATATTTGTATTCTGTACATGCTTCCTTCTTTTCACTCTGTCATTTAGGTTAGTATTGTGGAGTAACTACAATGTTGTTGATCCATCCTCAGTTTTCTCCTATCACAGCCATTAAACTCTGTAACTGTCAGTCACCAATGGCCTCATGGTGAAATCCTTGAGTGTTTTGATTTCTCTCCGGCAACTAAGTTAAGAAGGATGCCTGTCTCTTTGTAGTGACTGGGTGTATTTAGGTACACCATCCAAAGTGTAATTAGTAACTTCACTGTGCTTAAAGGGATAATCAAAGTCAGCTTTTTTTTAATTTTTACCCATCAACCAATTTGTGCCCTTCTTTGCGAGGCATTGGAAAATCTCCTTGGTGTTTGTGGTTGAATCTATGTTTATAATTAACTTCTCAACTGAGCGACCTTACAGGTAATTGTATGTGTGGGGTACAGAGATGAAGTAGTCATTCAAAAACCATGTTAAACACTATTATTGCACACAGAGCGAGTCCATGCAACTTATTATGTGACTTCTTAAGCAACGTTTTACTCCTGAACTTACAGTATTTAGGCTTGCCATAACACATGCTTATTGACTCAAGACATTTTGAATTAATTTGTATAAAATTCTAAAAACGTAATTCCCCTTTGACATTATGGGGTATTGTAGGCCAGTGACACAAAATCTCAATTTAATCCATTTAAAATGAAGGCTGTAACACAACAAAATGTGGGAAAAGGGGTGTGAATACTTTCTGAAGGCACTGTAAATATAGGCTCCTTTTTAACCATATAGACTCCTCAGAAACGTGTGAACAGCGAGATGGATATCACCAAGAAGTCGTCGGCCCCAAGCCGCTATAGCCAGGTCATGACCTCCGAGGACGAGGCACGTTCCAACTCTGCCAACAGCAGTGGAGAAGAGGAGGAGGAAAAAGAGAAGAGGGAGAGGGGAAGGGGAGTGAACCCCACACTGGCCCCTACCCTGGCCCACTCTCCTGTCCCTCCTCAGGCCAGGAGTCCTTTCGCTGCCCTCCAACCCCCGAAAGTGGCCTTCCCAGCCCCGGTCAGTCCTGTACCTGCAAAGGACACAAACCAGGTAGGCTTAGATTTTCGTAATTAGTAAGCCCCCCCCCTCCCCCCAAAAAACGCTTTCAGTGTAAATGACTAAAACCAAATATAACGTATGTATTAAAGATTATGGACCTATATATATTTTTTAATATTATTATCTTTGAGAACTACCAATCACCAAAATAAAAGCTAAACAGTCAGGGGAATTGAAAATTCCCAAAACAATTAATTTAACAGTGTTGATTCTTTTATTAAGTTTGAGCAAAATAACAAAATGCAGGATTTGCAGGAAATTATCTTTAAAACTGCTAAATGTTCTCTCAGCTACATGGCAGAATATGTAGAATCCCTGGAAATTGGCTTAAAGTTAATTTTTTCAACACCAAAATGTTCAAACTAATTCAGCCGCGCCGACCGCGCCCATTGCCACGCCACATGTGACACCCCTAGCCAGAAAAAATCCTGATTAGGCAGATAAGTATTTTTCAGCGCAAACTTACAGTATTCCAGAGCTGAAGCCAAAATTAACACAAAGTAATAAGGGCATCACAAGAAAACCAATTTGTTCAAGAAAAGTTAGCATGTATGTAACAGTCGCAGTGCTGGAGTGAATGAGTGAGAGTGAGTGACTACGATTTACACTGGATACTGCGTACATACTGTACTATGTACTATGTAGTAGTGATGGGGGAAAAAAATAGATAGTTACATATCGGGATATTATTTTTGACTATATATCATATCGTTTTGGCAATATCTTGAGGTCCCAGCCCTTCTATGCAGCTAGTGCTAGATACAGTAGGAGATACAGTAGTAGTGATGCTTGCCATTGTCAGACTGCAATTAATAATTCATAGTGAAGAACAAATGTTATCCTTTCCCTGGCTTCGAACAATGCCTAACATTCTTAATGAGTGTTTGTTTGTGTGTATGTGTATGTGTGTAGGGGAGCTACGCTGACATGCGGATCAGTCTGAACCAGAAGCCAAACAGCAGTCGAGACTTTGGCTTCCAGACAGAGTGGGACTCCACTGGAGCTCACGTCACCTCCATCCAACCAGGTTAACACACACACACACACACACACTCACACACACACACACACACACACACACACACACACACACACATACACACACAAACATTTAGCACAAACACACACATTTAGCATGGTAAACACAAAGTAACAACTCCCACATGAAAAAATACTATAGTGTACTATGGTCTAAATACTGTAGTATTATTATATTTAAATACTATAGTATTTACTGTAGTGTTTTTGCGGACATGACTGTAGTATTCACTATAGTGTTTTGCAGACATGGCCGTAGTATTTTGTAGTAACACCTGCCGGCTAGGGTTAGCTAAAATGGCAGACCAGACTACGCCAGTTACTGTTTAATGAGGGGAACACCTCAACCAGAACATAAGACACAGGTTCATGACAGACCACCTATTGAATTGGGTCAACAGTTCTGAGCAATGCAACAGACCAGACAACACCTTAGCAAACATATACATTTTTTATTACGATTGTAACATTAGACAGGTTATAGGTCCATTAAAGGAAAACCGTACAGAGGCAAATATAAAGAACAAGCAAAGTTTAAAAAAGCTTAAAGGATTAGGTTTGCTTGTTTGACAGATAAATGACACGCATTAACAAGAGTACACCAAAATTACATCTTAGATAATTTACTTACACTAGATAGCTTTCTGAAATACAATAGTCCTTTCAGAGATTCAGCTGACCAAGTTCACAAGATGACCAATAACAGTGACAAACAATACTGTACTTCTGATGGTAGAAAATAAAGAACAGTTAACCACTGCATTTGCATAAACAATATATATTTTTGAAATACAAATTACTTTACTTAAAGACAGTCATCTTATTGGCGGGCGCTGCCAATAAACTGCCTGGACCTGAAACCAGCAAAGCCTCTCCATATGATTCTGAATGTTACAGTTGAAGTCGGAAGTTTACATACACCTTAGCCAAATACATTTAAACTCAGTTTTTCACAATTCCTGACATTTAATCCTAGTAAAAAGTCCCTGTCTTAGGTCAGTTAGGATCACCACTTTATTTCAAGAATGTGAAATGTCAGAATAATAGTAGAGAGAATGATTTTTTTCAGCTTTTATTTCTTTCAATACATTCCCAGTGGATCAGAAGTTTACATACACTCAATTAGTATTTGGTAGCATTGCCTTTAAATTGTTTAACTTGGTCAAACGTTTCGGGTAGCCTTCCACAAGCTTCCCACAATAAGTTGGGTGAATTTTGGCCCATTCCTCCTGACAGGAAGACCCATTTGCGACCAAGCTTTAACTTCCTGACTGATGTTTTGAGATGTTGCTTCAATATATCCACATAATTTTCCTTCCTCATGATGCCATCTATTTTGTGAAGTGGACCAGTCCCTCCTTCAGCAAAGCACCCCCACAGCATGATGCTGCCACCCCGTGATTCACGGTTGGGATGGTGTTTTTCGGCTTGCAAGTGTCCCCCTTTTTCCTCCAAACATAACAATGGTCATTCTGGCCAAACAGTTCTATTTTTGTTTCATCAGACCAGAGGACATTTCTCCAAACAGTACAATCTTTGTCCCCAAGTGCAGTTGCAAACCATAGTCTGGCTATTTTATGGCGGTTTTGGAGCAGTGGCTTCTTCCTTGCTGAGTGGCCTTTCAGGTTATGTCGATATAGGACTCGTTTTACTGTGGATATATATACTTTTGTACCTGTTTCCTCCAGCTTCTTCACAAGGTCCTTTGCTGTTGTTCTGGGATTTAATTGCACTTTTCGCACCAAATTACGTTAATCTCTAGGAGACATAACGTGTCTCCTTCCTGAGCAGTATGACGGCTGCATGGTCCCATGGTGTTTATACTTGCGTACTATTGTTGGTACAGATGAACGTGGTGCCTTCAGGCGTTTGGAAATTGCTCCCAATGATGAACCAGACTTGTGGAGGGCTACAATATTTTTTTTGAGCGCTTGGCTGATTTCTTTTGATTTTCCCATGAGGTCAAGCAAAGAGGCACTGAGTTTGAAGGTAGGCCTTGAAATACATCCACAGGTACATCTCCAATTGACTCACATTATGTCAATTAGCCTATCAGAAGCTTCTAAAGCCATGACATCATTTTCTGGAATTTACCAAGCTGTTTAAAGGCACAGTCAACTTAGTGTATGTAAACTTCTGACCCGCTGGAATTGTGATACAGTGAATTATAAGTGAAATAATCTGTCTGTAAACAATTGTTGGAAAAATTACTTGTGTCATGCACAAAGTAGATAACCGACATGCCAAAACTATAGTTTGTTAACAAGACATTTGTGGATTGGTTGGAAAACGAGTTTTAATGACTCTAACCTAAGTGTATGTAAACTTCCGACTTCAACTGTATATGTTCAGTTTTACCATCAGTGAGTTTATTCATGTGTGACAATATTCAAGATGTTCATTATGTAAAGTCACTGCAATAATGTTATTTTGTTTTCAGTGGGCTTGTTTGGAGAGTCTTTTCTGGTTTGAAGTCCCTCTAACGGGCCTAGAACCTGTCTAATGTATAGATGTTACATTTGTAATACACATTTTATATTTTTGTTAAGGTGTTTTCTGGTCCGTTGCATTGCTCAGAACTGTTGACCCAACTCAATAGGTTGCCTGTCACGAACCTGTGTGTCTTATGTTCTGGTTGAAGTGTTCCCCTCATTAAACAATAACTGGTGTAGTCTGGTAGTTGTGCCATTTTAGTTATCCTAGTCGGCACTACATGAAAGTCCGTAAAGTCCAAAAACACTACAGTGAATACTATAGTCATGTGCCCAAAAACACTACAGCGAATACTACAGTAAAGTCCGCAAAAACACTACAGTGAATACTATAGTATACTACAGTCATGTCCCCAAAAACACTACAGTGAATATCTCAATTACCTCGACTAACCGGTGCCCCCACACATTGACTTTGTACCGGTACCCCCTATATATAGCCTCCCTACTTTTATTTTACTGCTGCTATTTATTTTTTATTTTTTACTTAACACTTCTTTTTATTTTCTTAAAAACTGCATTGTTGTTTAAGGGCTTGTAAGTAAGCATTTCACTGTAATGTCTACACCACATGTTGCAAATAAAAATGGATTTTATTTTATTTATAGTATACTACAGTCAATACTATAATATACTACAGTCATGTCTGCCAAATCACTACAGTGAATACTACAGTAAAGTCTGCAAAAACATTACAATGAATACTATAGTATATAAATATAGTAATACTACAGTATTTAGAGCATAGTATACTATAGTATTTTTTTCATCTGGGTTAGCTGTAAATGTCTGACATGTTTGAACTAGGACCACAATATAAATACATTTTAAACTTTTTTTTGTGTTATTCTCAACAAATATCTAAAGAGATTGTATCCACATTTGTGGTTGTATTGCATTTTTAAATAGTCAAATCAAATCAATCAATCAAGGGATACATACTGTGTGTAGTATAGTATTCTACAGTATACTACACAATTCTATAGTAAGCACTACATGATCGAGGGGGAACCTCAGAGGAAATCCCTGGCATGAGCTCCCCAAGTGTGACCGGTGTAGATTGCCTCTGTGTTGTTTTTTGATCAGCTAACATATGACCAAAGGATCAGGGTTGGTGTGGATCTTTAATTCTCTGATAATGACAGGGAAACGTCCTTAAACAAATGCTGCAATTCCCTTATACACCAAACTCCTGTCATCCACATGGGTACAGTAGACAGGGAATATAACAATAATCTAGTTTCACATAACAGTACAATATAAGGTAAATGCGATGTACATTTTTGAAATAGAAATGTACAGTATAGCTTATGGACCTAGGCTAGTCAACTTTCTCAATGACAGCCAGGCGTCATTGACGTGACGTTTTAATACATAGGATTGATTATAATTTTCATGTGACAATTTTTCAGTAACCTACCTCTTTCACATGAGTACAGTAGACAGGGATGAGGTAAGGGGGGCAGGGGATCTTTATGAGGGGGAATGGAGAAGGAAGTGTGCGACATTAAAAAGGGCTCTTACAACAACAAAAGGAATGTACAGTAATATCAGGCAAGGAACTATTCAGATTTTGTGTAATTATACACAACATGAAATTCAACACTTGTTACACAAGCACAGTATGTTCAAATCAAACCAGCATTGACACAGCTAGCAGCTAGCAGTAAAGCTAGCTAGCAGTCAAATCTATCAAAAAATTATAAAATAAGCACTACGTGATCGAGGGATACTACAGTGTGTAGTATAGTATTCTAGACAGTATACTACAACATTCTAAAGTATACTACAAAATATTATAGTAAGCACTACACAATCGAGGGATACTACATTGTGTAGTATAGAATTCTCCAGTATACTACAAAATTCTATAGTAAGCACTATATAGTAAGTACCATATAGTAAGCAATCCAAGACAAGCATGTGAATGGCTTAATGAAATGATGGGAAGAGAGAGGAAAAGAGAGAACAAGAAAATTGCAACAGCTTTTAATACAATGCAAATACACACACTGCTGAAATGACTACTGGACCTGAATGTCAACGGAGGCCTCACAGGTTGGATCAAGGACTTTTTAACTAACTGCCCACAGAGGGTCCTCATGAATAGGGCCCTCTCTGATGAACTGGCCCTGAACACAGGGGTGTGTCCTTTTCACCGTTGTTGTTTTCTATCTACATTAACGAGATGAAGATCCAAGAAAACAATGTGAGCCTTTTCAAGTATGCCGATGACATGATAAAAAAAAAAAGATGCTATATCAGATGGGGACAGCTATTTTAAACAGGCCAACAACCTTCAAGAATGGTGCCGGTCAAGTGCCCTCCACATCAATGTGGACAAGACAAAGGAGCTGATCATCAATGGCAACAACCTGCCAATGTCCCAACGACTCTCTGAACGACCAACCAGTGGAGGTGGTTGAGTGTTTCAAATACCTAGGGACACAAATTGATGACAAGCTGAGCTTTACCAAGAATGCAGACTGTATATATATATAAAAAAAGCAAGCCAGCGCCTGTTTTTAATCAGAAAATTGAAGGGGTTTGAGGTCAGCCAGGATGTTCTGGAGAGGGTGTACAGCAGTCTGGTAGAGAGCATCCTCACGTTCAATATGACAGTCTGGTATGGCAATCTGAGCGTGAAAAGCTAAAGTAAACTGAGCAGAATAGTAAACACAGCCAACAAAGTAATTGGTCGACCACAGGCACAGTTGAGCAGTCTGTTCCACAAGGCAACCAAAAGGAAGGCACTGGGCTGTCGTTGGCGACCCCTCCCACCCTCTACACCTTCAGCTTTAAAAAAAATATATATACAGTTTGAGAGGCTTCCCTAAGGCCGGCGCATGGCCAAGAAGAACGTGTTCAAACATTAATTTGTTCCTTGTGCCGTTGGACTACTAAATACAATGTAAATTGTATTGGTATATGTACTTATCTATCCAGTGCAGTTGGGGCAGCGGTCAGTTGTGAGTGAATGTATCAATGTCCTCTATGTTCGTAGTGTATGCAGTATGATGGACTGACTGGTCTAAATGTGTGTGATGTGAGAATGTATGTGAATGTGATCATTTTAATGTAAGGTGATGCCAAAGAAAAATGTCCATCCTGGATGGACAAAGTTTTATTCTATTCTATTCTACATGACCGATCAATACTACAGTGTGTAGTATAGTATTCTACAGTATACTACACAATTCTAAAGTAAGTGCTACACATGGTCATCGCAGTGAGACAGTTTTTAAGCAATGGACAATGTGTGAGACATTGGGAATAAAACTGCCCTTGGACATGATCATTGATCAATTATGAGCAAAGGTACTGTTATGTTATTTTATTGAACCTTTATTTAACTGTGGCCTTGTGGGGGTCTTCCTTTTCAGCGTCTAAATAAAGAATGCATTTCACCTGATTTCAGGTGAAAAAAAGGACTGTGTATTCGTTTAGTTGATTAGTGTTTGCTATGAAGTGAGTTGTGGACATTGGCCTCACTCCCTTTTGTTAGAAAACCTTTTATAATTCACACAGAAGAGCAAATATAATTTCACCGCTCTCACTGCACCACTAGCTGGAGGTCCATAAGTTTGATGTGTTTGATACCATTGATTTGATTATATTCCAGCCATTACGATGAGCCCGGTATTTCAGTCAGGCACTGCTGGTGTTCTTCAGTTCTCGTGCTAGTAGGACCCGATAAGACCCAGTAGCAGAGCATGTGCCAGGCCTTATGTAGGGCAACCTCTATCTGGGTCAGATCTGCTGGCCCTGTCTCTCTCTAGCCTATATATATGCACTAAGGAATCACTTGGCTATCACTGCACCACTGTTAAGAAAAAGGTACTGATGCCACAAAATGGTGGAATCGCTGTTTCTAGTTATGGTGAAGGTGATGTTCGCATTCATGTTGTAATGCTTATACTGTAGGTTAAGTTTACCCTAATTCGCTATGGGAATAGCTGTCACCTGTTGTCATACCACCCCTTTCACTAGTCCATGTACAGTGAGGGAAAAAAGTATTTGATCCCCTGCTGATTTTGTACGTTTGCCCACTGACAAAGAAATGATCAGTTTATAATTTTAATGGTAGGTTTATTTTAACAGTGAGAGACAGAATAACAACAAAACAATCCAGAAAAACACATGTAAAATGTTTTATAAATTGATTTGCATTTTAATGAGGGAAATACGTATTTGACCCCCTCTCAAGCAGAAAGATTTCTGGCTCCCAGGTGTCTTTTATACAGGTAAGGAGCTGAGATTAGGATCACACTCTTAAAGGGAGTGCTCCTAATCTCAGCTTGTTACCTGTATAAAAGACACCTGTCCACAGAAGCAATCAATCAATCAGATTCCAAACTCTCCACCATGGCCAAGACCAAAGAGCTCTCCAAGGATTTCAGGGACAAGATTGTAGACCTACACAAGGCTGGAATGGGCTACAAGACCATCACCAAGCAGCTTCGTGAGATGGTGACAACAGTTGGTGCGATTATTCGCAAATGGAAGAAACACAAAATAACTGTCAATCTCCCTCGGCCTGGGGCTCCATGCAAGATCTCACCTCGTGGAGTTGCAATGATCATGAGAACGGTGAGGAATCAGCCCAGAACTACACGGGAGGATCTTGTCAATGATCTCAAGGCAGCTGGGACCATAGTCACCAAGAAAACAATTGGTAACACACTACGCCATGAAGGACTGAAATCCTGCAGCGCCCGCAAGGTCCCCCTGCTCAAGAAAGCACATATACAGGGCCGTCTGAAGTTTGCCAATGAACATCGGAATGATTCAGAGGAGAACTGGGTGAAAGTGTTGTGGTCAGATGAGACCAAAATCGAGCTCTTTGGCAGCAACTCAACTCGCCGTGTTTGGAGGAGGAGGAATGCTGCCTATGACCCCAAGAACACCATCCCCATCGTCAAACATGGAGGTGGAAACATTATGCTTTGGGGGTGTTTTTCTGCTAAGGGTACAGGACAACTTCACTGCATCAAAGGGACGATGGGCGGGGCCATGTACCGTCAAATCTTGTGTGAGAACCTCCTTCCCTCAGCCAGGGCATTGGAAATGGGTCGTGGATGGGTATTCCAGCATGACAATGACCCAAAACACATGGCCAAGGCATCAAAGGATTGGCTCAAGAAGAAGCACATTAAGGTCCTGGAGTGGCCTAGCCAGTCTCCAGACCTTAATCCCATAGAAAATATGTGGAGGGAGCTGAAGGTTCGAGTTGCCAAACGTCAGCCTCGAAGCCTTAATGACTTGGAGAAGATCTGCAAAGAGGAGTGGAACAAAATCCCTCCTGAGATGTGTGCAAACCTGGTGGCCAACTACAAGAAACGTCTGACCTCTGTGATTGCCAACAAGGGTTTTGCCACCAAGTACTAAGTCATGTTTTGCAGAGGGGTCAAATACTTATTTCCCTCATTAAAATGCAAATCAATTTATAACATTTTTTACATGCGTTTTTCTGAATTTTTTTGTTGTTATTCTGTCTCTCACTGTTCAAATATACCTACCATTAAAATTATAGACTGATCATGTCTTTGTCAGTGGGCAAACGTACAAAATCAGCTGGGGATCAAATACTTTCTTCCCTCACTGTATGTCTCATCAGTACAGATAAGGGATGGAGACAAGAAGCAGAAGCCACTTTAAATAATCAAGATGATTTATTGCAATCGCTGCCTTGTCCTATCTCGGTCATGTCTTTCTATTGTGACAGCTTACCCTCATCTTGAACTCTACATTGTCCTCTCTATCTCACCTGTCCTCTCTATCTCACCCGCTGTGCCCTCCACATTATCTATATCAGACCACAGTTCCTTCTTTACCTTCTCTTTATCTGACCTCTCTGCCTATCTCTGTGCCCCCCAGGCAGCCCAGCGGAGCTGTGCCAACTGCAGGTGGGAGATGAGGTGCTGGCGGTGAGCGGGCACAGGGTGGCAAAGATGAGCTATGATGAGTGGAAGAGCAACACAGAGCAGGCCCTGCAGCAGGGCAGCCTCATCATGGACATACGTCGCCACGGCAGGAACAGTGAGTAGAAAACTGGAGAGAGAGAGTGTATGTGCGTTTGGGCGTGTGTGTGCATGCGCATGTGGGTGGGTGGGTGGTTGTTTGTTTGAGGCACGTCGAGAATTTCTAGTTTTAGAGTGTCAGTGTTGTTTATGTTTGTTGTGTTGTGTTGGTAAGCTATTGTGACACATTGAATTGGTCAGTAACAAGTTGTGCTCAATGGCTCAATTATTTCATGGCAGTTTAACAATAATTTATTTGTCTCTTGATAGTTTTCTAGTCTATTCTGGGAAATAATCAAATCGCGTACACAGATTTGCAGGTGTTATAGCAGGTGATGTGAAATGCTTGTTAATGGCTCCAATAGCGCAGTAGAATGTCTAGCAAATACAATACAAATACACAAATAATCTAAACATCTAATTAAGAAATGTCAAAACGAGTCCTAATAACAATTCAAAGTAGATAAATGAGTGTGAGCCGTTTCAGGATCCAGAATATACATATGTGGCGTGTATAGACAGTATATAATTTTGGAAAGAAAATGGTATGTACAGTAATAGGTAAATTAGGATGAGCTATGTCGAGAATACAGTATATACATACACAATGAGGAAACAACAGTATATAAACAGTATATGAAGTCACCAGTGTTCAATGTTTCTACAGTATATACATGGAGCATTAGTCTCAAGGTGCAGGATTGAGTACCGGGCAGGTAGCCGGCTAGTGATGGCTGTTGAACAGTCTGATGGCCTGGTGATAGAAGCTGTTTTTCAGTCTTTCAGTCCCGGCTCTGATGCACCTGTACCGTCTCTGTCTGCTAGATGGTAGCAGAGTGAACAGACCGTGGCTCTGGTGGCTGAGGTCCTTAAGCATAACCTTTTTAGTTAGTGAAATGGGAGCCCAGTTTTGGCTGTCTTCCTGTCTGTCTTCCTGTCTGTTTTACTTTTCGTCTGCCTGTGTTTCTCTACTTCTGTTTCTTTCTTCCCTTCTCTGTCTGTGTGTGTGTGCGTGTGTTTCTGAATGTTTATCGCTGTCTGTTTCTGTCTTCCCTGTGTTCTCCTGTGCACCTCCCTTGTGGATAATTAACCCAAACTCGGGTACAGGGTCCAACGGGTCCAAACTTGGTCTATTTACAGTATATGTTTTCACCAACAGGCTTACACATGCTATTATAACACGATTACACCACCACAATATTAATTAGTCTATTATGTTACATAATATACAGTTGAAGTCGGAAGTTTACACACACTTAGGTTGGAGTCATTAAAACTTGTTTTTCAACCACTTCACAAATGTATTGTTAACAAACTATAGTTTTGGCAAGTCGGTTAGGACATCTACTTTGCGCATGACACAAGTCATTTTTCCAACAATTGTTTACAGACAGATTATTTCACTTATAATTCACTATATCACAATTCCAGTGGGTCAGAAGTTTACATACACTACGTTGACTGTGCCTTTAAACAGCTTGGAAAATTCCAGAAAATGATGTCATAGCTTTAGAAGCTTCTGATAGGCTTATTGACATAATTTGAGTCAATTGGAGGTGTACCTGTGGATGTATTTCAAGGCCTACCTTCAAACTCAGTGCCTCTTTGCTTGACATTATGGGAAAATCAAAAGAAATCAGCCAAGACCTCAGAAAAAAATGGTAGACCTCCACAAGTCTGGTTCATCCTTGGGAGCAATTTCCAAACGCCTGAAGGTACCACGTTCATCTGTACAAACAATAGTACGCAAACACCATGGGACCACGCAGCTGTCATACCGCTCAGGAAGGAGACGCATTCTGTCTCCTAGAGATGAACGTACTTTGGTGCAAAAAGTGCAAATCAATCCCAGAACAACAGCAAAGGACCTTGTGAAGATGATGGAGGAAACAGGTACAAAAGTATCTATATCCACAGTAAAACAAGTCCTATATCGACAAAACCTGAAAGGCCACTCAGCAAGGAAGAAGCCACTGCTCCAAAACCGCCATAAAAAAGCCAGACTACGGTTTGCAACTGCACATGGGGACAAGGATCATACTTTTTGGAGAAATGTCCTCTGGTCTGATGAAACAAGAATAGAACTGTTTGGCCATAATGACCATTGTTATGTTTGGAGGAAAAAGGGGACAGCTTGCAAGCCGAAGAACACCATCCCAACCGTGAAGCACGGGGTGGCAGCATCATGCTGTGGGGGTGCTTTGCTGCAGGAGGGATTGGTGCACTTCACAAAATAGATGGCATCATGAGGAAGGAATATTATGTGGATATATTGAAGCAACATTTCAAGACATCAGTCAGGAAGTTAAAGCTTGGTCGCAAATGGGTCTTCCAAATGGACAATGACCCCAAGCATACTTCCAAAGTTGTGGCAAAATGGCTTAAGGACAACAAAGTCAAGGTATTGGAGTGGCCATCACAAAGCCTTGACCTCAATCCTATAGAAGATTTGTGGGCAGAACTGAAAAATCGTGTGCGAGCAAGGAGGCCTACAAACCTGACTCAGTTACACCAGCTCTGTCAGGAGGAACGGGACAAAATTCACCCAGCTTATTGTGGGAAGCTTGTGGAAGGCTACCCAAAACGTTTGACCGAAGTTAAACAATTTAAAGGCAATGCTACCAAATACTAATTGAGTGTATGTAAACTTCTGACCCACTGGGAATGTGATGAAAGAAATAAAAGCTGAAATAAATCATTCTCTCTACTATTATTCTGACATTTCACATTCTTGAAATAAAGTGGTGATCCTAACTGACCTAAAACAGGGATTTTTTACTAGGATTAAATGTCAGGAATTGTGAAAAACTGAGTTTAAATGTATTTGGCTAAGGTGTATGTAAACTTCCGACTTCAACTGTACACTTTTGCAGGAGAGTTTGTAAGCCTGTTGGTAAATCCTAGTGGTTTGTAGATTGTGCAGGTGTGGGGAAGGTGGTTTCTAAGTCATCCAACTGTTCTTTAGAATAACATAAAAACTATTTTATTTTCCCTTCCAAGCGGTAGCGTCTGTACTTTGTTCTATAGTTGTATAGTAGTACCTTTAAAGTAATAGTACCTTTCCTAATATTGTGCTTTCACACACACACACACACATACTCTCTCTTATACACATACACATACATTCTATCTTTCTCTCACACTCACACACACACACACACACACTCTCACATAAACACACATACCCCTTTGATTCTTTGTCATTGTTATGTGTCTGCGATGTTCAGACTGGGACAGAGACCTACCTTCCCTGCCGTGTAAAAGCCATAAGACCATCAATCTGACCAGTATGGATCATCATCCAACACTTATAGGTTCCCCCAACACAGCCACCGTTAACGCAACCACCAGCTTGGCTTTCACATCTCGGGGATCCATGGAAACCACCAAAGAGGTCGCCATCCAACCAATCATTGTGAGTTTTACACGAAGACTTCATGGTGTTGATAGGGTTCAAATGTTTCTTGTTAGCTTTCTTGTTATGTTACTCCCAAATACCCAGAAAAGACATGACATTGTCACCAAGTTTCAAATATGTTGCGAAAAGGTTGTTGAGGACATTGATATAGGACATAACTGCGAAAAACTTTAGATTTTTGTTAGTTGCATGATCACATTGAATCCACATTAAGACAATGTATTGATTAAACCCCAAACAGTTCTCAACAGGCATTTCCTTCATCTTGTTGCAGGATGTGGCATCCATTGGAGTGAATGGAGGTTTCCGTGACGAGACGGTGACCATGAGAAACACAGGTAAAGAGCATAGAGCAGAGATACTAACCAGAGCAGTTATGACTAGCCTTTATTAACATCAACGAGTTTGAGAAAGCAATGACAACATTCTCTCTTTGGGACCGTGTGTGTTTTTGGTGGTGAAATGCTCATTGCTCAATTATGTACTAATGATATTATGATGTTCTGTTTGCTTGTAATGTAGGATATGTTTGTGTGAGCATTTTGGAAAGACCTGGCCAGAGCTTACATATGCTCGTTTTTTTGACGACTTAATCCTTATGTAATTGTTGTGTTTTCAGTGGGGGAGAATGGAAATGTTGATAGAAGTTACCCGAGAATGGAGATTTTGATAGAAGTTACCCACGCCATGATAGAAGCTATTACTTAAATGTTTCTCTCCCAGCTCCTCTCTTACACTGTGTCCCTGTTCTGATTTCTCCATCTCTCACGTAGAGTCCGCAGAACCCATATCTTTGAAAAACTTAAAACGGAGGTCAGAGTTTTTTGAACAAGGTAAAAAGGCCCTGACTGAACCCTGGTGTTGGTGAAGGGTTATTATCAATAGTCTGTGTTACTATCAGAAGGCTGGGTGCTCTGGGCTTCCATCTCTTTCTCTCTATTCCAGTGGTTCTCCTATGGACCTACCTGGTATACAGGTTTTTGGCTCAACTATGACTTAACCTAATCATTACGATCAATTGTTTTTAAAATTGGTCAATAGTGTGGATTTCAGATCTATTGAAGATGATTATGGGAAGGTTGAGACAAAGAAGTTGAATACTCAGGAGTTCCTCAGGGCTCCATGTTGGGCCCGCTGCTTTTTTTGTTTTTAGATTCAGTCTTATAAGCCACTGCCTTTTTCCGTCTGATCTCTACTGAGGGACTGTAACCCCTCTGCTCTCCCCCTCCCTCCCGCCCCCCAGGCTTCTCAGGGCCCAGTGTCAGTGCACTGGTCTACCTCTGTGGTAAACAGGGTTGAGTGTGCAGTGATTCTCTCCACACCTCCAACTGCCACACCTGAGACACTGACATGCTGTCTGAGCCCAGTGAGTTTAAATCAGTATTTCCCAACCCTCTCCTGTGGGACCAGCAATCCGTCTAAATTTTTGTTGCAGCCCTGAGCTGACAACTAATCACCCAGGCCTTGATTAGTTGAATCAGGTATACTAGTTCAGGGCTACAATCAAATTGAGAACTGTCTGAGGATCCCTCAGGGGAGGGTTGGGAAACACTTGATGAGAAAGTAGTGTTTTCACCAACAGTTTAAACCTCCAAATGGTAGACCGCAGGTCAGAATGTCATACCAACTTACCAATCTACTAGACTCCAGAGAAGTAGTTTATTAATGTCAGACTCTATGCACTCCTCTCTGTATGCAGGTTCTCACTTCTTGCTTGTGTGTTTTTGATAGATTTTGTTTTTAGCCTGCATACATACACAGGAGTAATTGAGAACCGACATCAACGTTGATCAAGCCTAGGCTGGTCCAGCTCCATATAGGATAGGGATGTATAGTGGGGTCCAAAATGATTGACACCCTTGATAAAGATGAGCAAAAATGACTGTATCAAATAAATAATTCAAATACTGAGCTATATATTGTATGCTCAAAAAAATTTGGAAATTATTTTATACCAATACAATTGCTCAGAGAAACACATTTTGTTTAACAAGTAAAACCTTTTTACAAAAATGTCAAAATTATTGACACCCCTGTTTTCAATACCTTCCAATACCTCACCTTGCGAGGATAAAATGTTTGAGTTGAAGAACACATTGGGAGGGATCTTAGACCATTCCGCCATACAGAATCCTTCCAGATCCTTGATATCATTTGTCTGCGCTTATGGACTGCCCTCTTCAATTCAAACCACAAGTCTTCAATGTGTTTCATGTCTGGAGAACAGTTGATTTTGTGGCCAATTAACCATTTATTTTTGGATTTTGATGTGTGCTTGGGGTTACTGTCTTGCTGGAAGAGACACTAGGTTTTTGGTGAAAATGTCCTGGTACTGGGTAAATTTCATGATGCCATTGACCTTAACAAGGGCCCCAGGACCAGTGGAAGCAAAATAGCCACATAACATCAAAGATCCACCACAATATTTTATGTTTATGCATTCTCATTTAGACGCCAAACCCACCACTGGTGTGCGTGGCCAAATAACTATATTTTCATGACCAAAGCACTGGTGCGAATCCAAGTGCCAATGCCATTTGGCAAACTCCAGGCGTTTACATTTGTTGGATAACATGAAAAATATAAATCTTTGGCCACGCAGCATCATCAAGGACCCCCACACACCCTAGCCATGAGCTGTTCACTCCCTTACCGTCAGTTTCTATCTACAAGCAATCAGACTGCTGAAGACTTGTACTGAACTGACCACCTGCACTGACTCTCCGCACTTTAGCACACATGCACTCACGCACGCACACACCCACACATATATACTTTCATGCTACATACACATCACAACTTTCTGCTACCCATATTATTATATTTTATTAATTCTTATTGTTGTTGCATTGTTGAGAAGGAACCTGCAAATAAGAATTTTGTTGGATGGTGTATACCATGTGTATCCCGTACATATGTCTAATACAATTTTGACCCCAACCTCTTTGAGGGAAAAAATATGACTTGTTAAACAAAATCTCTTTCTCTGAGTATAAGTATCAAATAATATAGTTTCCCCTTTGTGAATACAATATAGCTTATAGAGTGGGGGAAAAAAGTATTTAGTCAGCCACCAATTGTGCAAGTTCTCCCACTTAAAAAGATGAGAGAGGCCTGTAATTTTCATCATAGGTACACGTCAACTATGACAGACAAAATGAGATTTTTTTTCCCAGAAAATCACATTGTAGGATTTTTAATGAATTTATTTGCAAATTATGGTGGAAAATAAGGATTTGGTCAATAACAAAAGTTTCTCAATACTTTGTTATATACCCTTTGTTGGCAATGACACAGGTCAAACATTTTCTGTAAGTCTTCACAAGGTTTTCACACACTGTTTGGCCCATTCCTCCATGCAGTGATGTTTTGGGGCTGTTGCTGGGCAACACGGACTTTCAACTCCCACCAAAGATTTTCTATGGGGTTGAGATCTGGAGACTTGCTAGGCCACTCCAGGACCTTGAAATGCTTCTTACACCGGGCGGTGTGTTTGGGATCATTGTCATGCTGAAAGACCCAGCCTCGTTTCATCTTCAATGCCCTTGCTGATGGAAGGAGGTTTTCACTCAAAATCTCACGATACATGGCCCCGTTCATTCTTTCCTTTACACGGATCAGTCGTCCTGGTCCCTTTGCAGAAAAACAGCCCCAAAGCATGATGTTTCCACCTCTATGCTTCACAGTAGGTATGGTGTTCTTTGGATGGAACTCAGCATTCTTTGTCCTCCAAACACGACGAGTTGAGTTTTTACCAAAAAGTTATGTTTTGGTTTCATCTGACCACATGACATTCTCCCAATCCTCTTCTGGATCATCCAAATGCACTCTAGCAAACTTCAGATGGGCCTGGACATGTACTGGCTTAAGCAGGGAGACACGTCTGGCACTGCAGGATTTGAGTCCCTGGCGGCATAGTGTGTTACTGATGGTAGGCTTTGTTACTTTGGTCCCAGCTCTCTGCAGGTCATTCACTAGGTCCCCCCGTGTGGTTCTGGGATTTTTGCTCACCGTTCTTGTGATCATTTTGACCCCACGGGGTGAGATCTTGCGTGGAGCCCCAGATCGAGGGAGATTATCAGTGGTCTTGTATGTCTTCCATTTCCTAAAAATTGCTCCCACAGTTGATTTCTTCAAACCAAGCTGCTTACCTATTGTAGATTCAGTCTTCCCAGCCTGGTGCAGGTCTACAATTTTGTTTCTGATGTCCTTTGACAGCTCTTTGGTCTTGGCCATAGTGGAGTTTGGAGTGTGACTGTTTGAGGTTGTGGACAGGTGTCTTTTATACTGATAACAAGTTCAAACAGGTGCCATTAATACAGGTAACGAGTGGAGGACAGAGGAGCCTCTTAAAGAAGAAGTTACAGGTCTGTGAGAGCCAGAAATCTTGCTTGTTTGTAGGTGACCAAATACTTATTTTCCACCATAATTTGCAAATAAATTCATTAAAAATCCTACAATGTGATTTTCTGGATTTTTTTCCTCAATTTGTCTGTCATAGTTGACGTGTACCTATGATGAAAATTACAGGCCTCTCTCATCTTTTTAAGTGGGAGAACTTGTACAATTGGTGGCTGACTAAATACTTTTTTTCCCCACTGTAATTTATTTTATACAGTCATATTTACTCCTTGTCAATAATTTCGGACCTCACTGTACATGTATCTATGGCTCTGGGCTATTCACTAAGCCATACGCCTGGAAAGTTATGCTATCACAAGACTGAATCAGGTGCCATGTGTAGTCAGGTGTGTGGTACAGTAGGTTGGCATGATGTCCAGGTGTCACACATTGGCTCCCCTCCCGCTCAACCTTGCATGCTGTGCTGTGCTATGCTGGTGCTCTTGTGTTTTTATTAATAGCCAATGCTTCTGCTTGCATCAATATCAACATGATTTTTGGTGACTGGTGACTTAGTTTGACTTTTGTGTCCTATTCCTGTTTGCATCTTGTGCATGCTTGTTGTGATCGGTTTAAAAATTATTTTATTTTCATGAGATGTTAATACGTTGAATCTAGTTATTGTGATGTGCTTTGGTAACACACCAACAGTATGTTGGTACCTACTATTCAGCAGTCAGACTGGTATTCTGTCAAAATCATAGACTCCTTGTGGCATTATTGGCAACACTGGAGGTGAATTTAAAAGAAATTTTGTTTGCTTCATGCTGATTTTAAAACATCTCAAATTATAGCTGAGGGTTTGGTTAAAGTTTAAACACCATTTAATAGTTTTAGAAGTTTAAACACTAAAATCTGAAGTCAAACTCAACCTCTGATAAGAGTTGAGGTTTTAACAAGCCTGTCAGCTTTCTTTCTGTGTGGTATATAGCCAGGAGTGTGTAATTTAAATACATATATTACATCTATCCTAGGTGCCAGTCTGTGTCTGCTTTAGCAAACGTTCAATTGTCTTGACAAACATGGCAATGATGTAGTATTTTGGAATATAGAAACAGTGTGCTTGACGTGGCAGCATACTGAATGCTCTATAACACTCTGAGATATAACTATAAACGTTTAGAGCTATTTGATTATGTTTATTCTTTTTTCAAGGAGGATCAGATTCTGTGATATCAGATGTAAGTAATACTATTTCATATTTACAACAAAAAAAAATTCTTAAAACAAGTGGTTGGGGTTTTTGCTCTGAACTGCGTTCTCAAGCATACAGCTTCTTTGTAAGTGGATAGCAGTCATTACGACGCATTGACCCGTCATTATGAGTGACATCTTTACTGTGTGGAATAGTTATGGGTTATTTAACTACCACCCCAGGGGCAGGATCTGTAGCTCCCTTAAATTCCTTGATTGCCCAGTTACCTTGACTACAGGGCAGAGAATGCTAGTCCAAATTCCCCAACCTTTGTGTCATTGATTATTGTACTATGAACAATCTTTGAAACTGGATAATGATTATTATAACTTGAGTGGACTGAAGCATCTGCGGCTCACTTTGAAAAGGCTGACGGAAGGAATAACCTACTGTTTAACAGTATGAAAATGTATGCACTCACTAACTGTAAGTCGCTCTGGATAAGAGTGTCTGCTAAATGACTAAAATGTAAAATGCAAGTTTGTAATTCGCATCTTTGTCATGGACACTGAAATACTGTACATGGGTAGCACGTTAATACATAAACAATGAAATATTGAAATAAAAAACAAGTGAAATGCATGAAAATATGTATAAGGGTTGGGGAGACTCAAATAGTTTTGTTGATTGAATTACTTGTATTCAAGCATCAGATAGAAACAAAAATGCTGTTATTAGTGTATTGGCAGGATAAGTTTGACCTATAAAGTAATAAAGGCAATGTCTCTCCTCTCCTCTTCCTCTCCTCCGTCAGATGCCCGTTCCCTCCATCACTCCCTCCTCTAACCACTGGTCCTGGGACCTGGAGGAGGAGTGCAGGAGGCAGGAGAAATGGCAGAAAGAGCAGGAGAGACTTCTACAGGTGAAATGCTGTAGTGTGTGTGTGTGTGGACGATAGCAGAGAAAACAGTCTATAGTTTGGGTGGCTAAAGTCTTTGGCAATTTTTCGGGCCTTCCGTCTGGTATAGAGGTCCTGGCAGGGAGCTCGACCCCAGTGATGTACTGGGCCGCCCGCACCACCCTCTGTAGCACTTTGCGGTCGAGGGCAGTGCAGTTGCCATACCAAGTGGTGATTCAGCCAGTCAAGATGCTCTCAATGGGGCAGCTGTATAACTTTTTGAAGATCTGAGGGCCCATGCCAAATCTTTTCATCCTCCTGACGGGGAAGAGGCTCTTTCGTGTCCTCTTCACAACTGTGTTGGTGTGTGGACTATGTTAAGTCCTTAGTGATGTGGACAACAAGGAACTTGAAGCTCTCGACCCTGCTCTATTCCCCCTGCTTCCTGTAGTCTATGATACACCCCTTGGTCTTACTGATTTTGAGGGAGAGGTTGTTGTCCTGGCACCACACTGCCAGGTCTCTGTCTCATCTCTGTCTGTGATCAGGCCTACTTGTTGTTTGATTGTGATTTAAAAGTTGTTGTCAGTAAGTATAGTGACCAAAACTCCAGAGAAACTGTGTGTGTGTTTGTGATCAGGAGAAATACCGTCGGGACCAGGAGAAACTGGAGGAGGAGTGGTGTCGGGCCCAGCAGGAGGCTGTGACCGAGGGGGGCAGACACCACCAAGAGGTGAGGAGCCATAACACTATAACAACATAATTTTCTGGTAGGAAACTGAGACACGAACTCTGGCTTTGGCTTTATCCCTTTACTGTCTGTTTCTCAGGAGCCGAGCAGCAGGAGTATCAGCCTCCTCTGCCCGCTCCGCCAGCCCATCCTGCCCTGGGAGGACCAGGAGGTACAGGAGGAGGAGAGGAGGAGGAGGGAAGAGGAGGAGGCACAGCGAAGACAGGAGGAGGAGAAGAGGAGAATGGAGGAAGAGCAGCGAAGGCGGGAGGAGAGGATGAGGAGGATGGAGGAGGAGCGAGAGCTGTTGCGTCTTCAGGAGGAGAGGAAGAGGGAGAAGCAAGAGGAGGATGAGAGGAGACAGAAGGAAGAGGAGGAGCTGAGATGGCAAAGGAGGAAGGAGAAAGAGAGGGAGGAGGAGGAAGAGAGGGAGGAGAGGAGGCATCAGGAGGCTGCTGAACAACAGCGCATGGAGAAAGCGAGAATGCAGGAGCAGCAGCAATGGTTAATAATAATAATATTTTCTTTAAAGGGAAATTTCACCCAAATTACAAAATTACATATTGGTTTCCTTACCCTGTAAGCAGTCTATAAACAAGGTATGACAGCAATCCATGCTTTGGTTTAGTTTCCCTGGCACTGTTTCGAAATGCTAACATTTTAGCATTGATGGCACAAATCCAATGCATGTCATGGTACCTATATTAGCATTTTTCGCACATCATGTCCATATTATCCTAAAGTATCTCAAATTGATTATATAGATGAACAAAGTAACTTTTAGATGATGGTCAACTTTCCATTTTAATGCTTTTTTGTTTTGATATTCTGTATACATTACAATAATTATTTTTATTTTCACCCAGTTTTTTTTGTTTAGCTTTTTACAATGATAATGATTTGCAATAATACCGTTTTTTTCTCCTCCATAATTCCTCCTTCCTATCCCACCCAGTTAATTTCTTGAAGAATATTTGCGTACAGTCCAAATATACACTGAACAAAAATATAAACGCAACATACAACAATTTCAAAGATTTTACTGAGTTACAGTTCATGAAAGAAAATCAGTCAATTTAAATAAATTCATTAGGCCCTAATGTATGGATTTTACATGACTGGGAATACAGATATCCACATATTTGGTCACAAATACCTTTAAAAAAAAGTGGATCAGAAAACCAGTCAGTGTCTTGTGTGACCACCATTTGCCTCATGCAGCGCGACACAGCTCCTTCGCGTAGGGCTGGTACAGTTGAAACCTGGATTCATCTGTGAAGAGCACACTTCTCCAGCATGCCAGTGGCCATCGAAGGTGAGCATTTGCCCACTGAAGTCAGTTATAACGCCAAACTGCAGTCAGGTCAAGACCCTGAGGACGACGAGCACCCAGATTACTTTCCCAGAGATGGTTTCTGACAGTTTGTGAAGTCAGCATGCCAAGTTTACGCTCCCTCAAACTTTGCGACATCTGTGGCATTGTGTTTAGTAACAAAACTTCACATCTTAGAGTGGTGTTTTCTTGTCCCCAGCACAAGGTGCACCTGTGTAATGATCATGCTTTTTAATCAGCTTCTTCATATGCCACCCCTGTCAGGTGGATGGATTAACTTGGCAAAGGAGAAATGCTCACTAACAGGAATGTAAACAAATTTGTGCACAAAGTTTGAGAGAAAACAGCTTTTTGTGCATATGGAACATTTCTGGGATCTTTTTGTTTCAGCTCACTTTACATGTTGTGTTTTTATTTTTGTTCAGTGTATATATATTTTTCTGGTAGTGGAAGAAGGATAAATTAGCCTTATCTAGAGTTCAAGCTGAACAGAAGTTGAATGAGTTCAATACTTTCAGCAAGCACATTAATAAAGAGAAGGATGCCGGATAACAGTAGTGGTCTTGCTGAAGCAAGTACACTAATAAATCAATAAAAATATATAAAAAAGAAACAAAAGACGATTTCCATTGTTTTGCATGTACAGTTTTAAACTAAATGTAAGGATTAGAAAATAAAATAAAAATATCAAAATATGAAAGCAATTAAGGCAAAGATATCAGCAATACTGTATACTATAGCAACTGCTAAATATATATATTTTTACTTGATTCTGTTCAGTGGCTTCTTTGTGCGTAAATCATGGTTTCAAATGTTTGAGGATCTAGTGCCTCTGCCTTATGCTAGTTACCTCTTATAGATCCAAGGTTTTATTTACATTTATTAAAAACTACATGACCAAAAGTATGTGGACACCTGCTCGCCGAACATCTAATTCCAAAATCATGGGCGTTAATATGCGTTGTCCCCCGTTTGCTGCTATAACAGCCTCCACTCTTCTGGGAAGGCTTTCCACTAGATGTTAGAACATTGCTGCAGGGACTTGCTTCCATTCAGCCACAAGAGCTGAGGTCGGGCACTGATGTTGGGCGATTAGGCCTGGCTCGCAGTCAGTGTTCCAATTCATCCCAAAGGTGTTCGATGGGGTTGAGGTCAGGTCTCTGTGCTGCCCAGTCAAGTTCTGCCACACCGATCTCAACAAACCATTTCTGTTGCTCCTAGACGTTTCAACTTCACAATAACAGCACTTACAGTTGACCGGTGCAGCTCTAGCTAGGCAGAAATTTGACGAACTGACTTGTTGGAAAGGTGGCGTCCTATGACAGTGCCACGTGGAAATGCACTGAGCTCTTCAGTAAGGCCATTCTACTGCCTATATTTGTCTATGGAAATTGCATGACTTTGTGCTTGATTTTATACGCATGTCAGCAACGGGTGTGGCTGAAATAGCAGAATCAACTCATTTGAAGGGGTGTCCACATACTTTTGTATATATAGTGTATCTTTTTTATTCTAGCCCATCGATCTTATCTTTTGTCATTACAGAAATAATCTTAAAGTGCCTTTAAGGCTTTAAGATTTGTGTGTACTAAATCTGTGCTTTAATCTTCAGAGGCTTATTGTAAACACTAGCTTATTGTAAACATTATGATTGAAATAATTCATTAATAACACATTTTTGCCTGCACTATTGTCTACTTTACATTGAGTAGTAACCTCTAACTCCCACTAATGGTCTTCCTGTGCTTTGTCCTCTATGCCTGTGTTTTGTCCTGTCTGTCTATCTGTCCATCTGTCTGTCTCTGTACCCCCTCTATCTCTGTTTCTGTCTGTATCCCCTATTCCCTATCTATATTCTCTCTACTGCTGCTGCTATAACCCCATAACCCTTTCGCTGCTGGATGGCAGGTTGGGGGACTCCTATGGCTATGCCAAGGTCCAGCCTGAGATATCAATGGCAGACAGGTCAGTGTGTGTATGCCAAGGTCCAGCATAGACATCAGTCTGTGTGTGTGAGTCAGACCTGGGTTAGAATATTGGAAAAACCTTTCAAATACTTTGAGCGTTTGCTTGAGTCTGCCTTGAGTGCCAGATGGGAAATGGGCTGGGTCTGCAGTTTCTGGACCGTTCCAATGGTTTATTAAGCCAGGTCTGCGCAGATAAAGTTTTTGATATGATTTTTCAAGTGTTTGAAACCCAGGTCTGGTGTGAGTGTGTGCGTGTGTGCATGCATTAGAATGGCCATGGCTTTGCCTCTGTTGCAAACAGACAAACATACAGTATGACTGTGGGTAATCTAGCCTTTTATAAACACATTTCATGCAATTCTACGTCATTTTACATGACTGGAGACAAGCATAATCGTTTTTTAGTACAACACCAGAGCATGTGAGCTGAGTGGAGTGAGGCGTCGCACGTCCTCTAATTTTACTCTGGTACCGCTGAAGCATGTGCTCTGGGCATGCTCTAACCAGCATATTTCGGTTCCTTTATCACCATTCTTATAATTAGGCCTATTCTCTTTATTTAGCCTACCCCACCACTAGTATTGCGCTGTGGTGAATGATGGACGGAGTCAGGCGCAGGAGTAAAATAACCGGATGCAGATTTATTCCTTCCAGACATACAATGCGCCTACAACGGCAATCGAAACAGGTACAGGGGAAACAATCCTCCCTGACCAAACACAGTCTCAGAAAATACAATAAATGTAATGACAGGCTACACAGCACAGTCGTTGGTTAGGCAGCACAAAATGTTTTACATCAGCAAGAGCAGGCCAGCCAGGGCTCTTGTTTGGGATAGCCGATCCCTTACAGTGTGTATGCAGTGTAGCCTAATTTTATTTGCAAAAACTTGTGAAGGAAGTACATTTTCTTAGATATATAACCTTGTGCTGTGCTTCTCGAGCATGCATTTCTTATAGTCCAATTGTATAGCCTATAGTATATCTATATGCTATGGATAATTTAATTGAGACCACAGGCGCACCTGATATTGCACGTTCAGCAAGACCCTAAGGGCCCTGGTCAAAAATAGTGCACTATAAAGGGAATAGGGTGCCATTTGGGACACACTCTTGCTCTAATGTTTACCTGAACAGAAGAACACATCTCTCTAATTATCTGATTTGATTATTTGATCATTAAAAGTACATAGTAGGCTGCTCCAGCCGGAGACAATATATTGGACTGTACGTATTTGAAAATACATGTTATTACCTTCCTGTATTTACGCACACCTGAGCATGTAACAGTATTTCACTCCAAGGATGTGACCCAAATGGCACCCTATTCCCTACATAGTGCACTACTTTTGATCAGAGTCAAATGTAGTGCACTATGTAGGGAATAGGGTGCCATTTGGGACGTAGACCAAAGTAAATCAATAATATGTGACTTTTAATGAATCTGTTTTCCAGTGATTTGAGAGATAATTAATATTATTGATTATGCACAAATTATGTGTTTTATGTGTTTTGCAGGGCAAAGTCTAAATCTACTCCAGAGCTAGATGACGTGGAGAAACCAGAGACTAAAGGTCAGTGGGGATTAATTATAATAAGGTATTATTATTTATGTCCTCATCAATGTCTTCATCAATATTCATTCATCCTTCGGAGGAAGTTGGGGGGGGGGGGGGGGGGGGGGCATTACAGAAGCTTGGAAACACAAAGACATTTCAAAAGGAGGAAAATAATTAGTAGGAGCATCTTTTGTCATCCTTTCGATGTCACCAGTTGACTTTAGGTGCAGTATAACTTTAGCTAGCTAGCTAAGATTGAGGGGACGCACTGAATTTTTGCTAGCTAGCATTAGCATTGCTAGCTATTTTTTACGAACTTGGCTAGCTAATGGCAACATTGCCATCTCTCTAAAGTAAATTAGAAAATAAAGTTGTGTCCTACTAATTATTTGCCTGCTTTAGCAATATCATCGTATTTCCACGCCACTATAGTATAATTTAGATGAAATTAGCCTCCATTCAGAATGACTGGGCATCAGTCATCAGTCGGGCACCAATATGTACGGTGTCCAATCAAAAACGTATCTTTTGAACAATGGGTAAAATAATATGTTCATTGTGTAGATACTCCTCCAAGAAAACCAATGGTCCAAATCTCATCTCTATCATAATCCATAAAAAAGTTATTCAAATTTTTACTCTTGTAGGATGGCCAAAATTAGGGTGATTTGAATCAATGCAGGCCAGAGGGGAAAAAAAGTGGTTACAAATCTGGAAAATAGCATTGCGTCAGCTAGGCTGGATGCTGTGCAAGAACTAAGGCTAACTGACAGGCTCACCGTTGAACTAGTCATCTTTCTTATCGAATCCGGAAGGACATAAAACCATATAGAGGTGTCAAAGTTGCGTCAATTCAAATCTGGTATTAGGAACAAAAGAGGTCAATACACGTCTTCTAAATAGACTAGTATTTTAATTAATGTAAAACCTTCAATGGTAAATATTATGTTCGTATATACGGGCTCCTTGAAATACCTCGCAGGGCAGACAGAGAACTAATCCATTGTTTCAGATTGTTCTTCAAATACTCTTGACAGTTCTCAGTTCCTGCTCTCTGCTGGCCAATCAGAGTAGAGGCTGAGCGTGGTTTAGACTTACTCAGCCTATCCGTTGACGCACGGGCTGGTCCCAACCCCTTGGCGCATCCCGGTTGCCAGGCATAAGTTTATCATAACAACCTGTCATGGTGAGAAGAGCCAGCTCCCCTAGACACCATTCCTACGTCCAAGGATGGTTCACAGATCACAAAGAACCAGTATAGTCTAGTATTTGGAGACACAAATTATCTTACCCCCTAAAACAGCTCTTCACATCAATCATAGCTTGCCAGGTGACACAACCTACATCAGCCCAGTCTAGAATGCATTCTTTCTAAGTTAGTCATCCCATCAATTATGAGAATAATAAATCCCCAATAGAGGTAAGATAGATATTTTAGTGTACGCTTTTCAAATTAATGCGAAATTCCTGTTGTTGTCCGGAGATTGCGGCACTGAGCGTACTGCCAGCTTTTTATTTTCAAAGCCTTTTAAATGTATTCAGTTCGGTAATTTGGCTTTTTGCAACCAGTGGAAACAACTTTGCAGACGACCACCACAACATGTAAAATCCTCAAAAGTCGCTGCGAGAAAGCAGCACAGCTCTTTCAACAGAGCTCTGTGCTTATTATTGTATTAGGTTACAAAATCCTATTTTTTGGATGTAATGTTAATGATATGTTAGAGAAAGACCCCACTGAACATGAAGAATCATATTTGTCTTGGTAAAATGTATTTTATAACAAAAGTGCGTTTTCACCAACTCTCGGCAGAGTGGGTGGACACCCTACAATATGGCTGCGGTGTCTGTAGAATGTTCATAAAAGGCAACAATGCGACTCCATGAATAGGAGTCAGTGAGTGTGATCTGTATCTGTAGAGGCTGTACTCAGACACTTTTAGCCAAGCTAGCGGTTTGTGTCTGTGCCACTGTGTCAGTGAGTGTGAACACACTGTGCCCAGGCTGGTACGGCTGCTCGGGGGGCATGGCCCAGAAGTTACTGGAGGAGGAGTTGAGACGTAAAGCAGACAAAAATGCACAGAGTCTCCTGGCCGCGTCCGAGCTGGAGTTGGAGAGGAGAAACATCCTGAACGCCATGAGATACAGAGAGACAGAAAGAGGTGTGGTTCACGGCCTCTGCCGTTCCTCGACTGCTCCTGACTGCTCCTGTCTAATCAATGCAGGACCCAATCAATCAAGCAATCAGCTCAGCTGATCAATCGCGTTTGGCATGAAGAGTCAGACACTTCCAGATTTTACAATCTGTCTTGATCATGAATCACTGGTCGTATTGTTGTTTCCTGATTGTTTGATTCCTGATCGATGGATGAATCATAGGCTCTCATGTCTATCTCCTGACTCCTTCCTCTCCCATTGGCTCTCGTCTTTATTTACTGACTCCCTCTCCTCTCTCATTGGTCCACAGTTACTAGCAGCGGTGGGCTGGGCGAGGCATCGTGGAGGAATGGCCAGCAGAGCCTGTCCCAGGCAGAGCTAGAGAGGCAGCAGATCCTGCAGGAGATGAAGAAGAAAACCCACCTGGCCACAGACAACAGCTGGATCCGCCAGCGCTCCACCAGCACCACCACCAGCAAGGACCCCATTGCCAGCCCCATCAGCAGGTGCTCGACTGTGGCTCCGCTGGCCTGGGGGTGTGGGGGTGGTGGATCAGTACAGTACACTGTGTGTGTTGAATGATAGGGTTAAGCCAGCCTTGGGCTCACCTGGGGCTCTGCTGGCCTGGGGTACACTGTCCATATTAGGATAGCTCCACATGACTCTGACACATCTTCCATGGATTTGTGACTGTTCTAATAAGGACACCGTACCAGCTGTGTCCATATAACCTACAACAAAAACTGGAGTAAAGATCACATTTCTTAGTGGTTTGGGGCTCTAGCCTGGATGCCAGTCTGTTTCCTGTTTCAGTTTTCAGAGGAGTCAATATCAACATAGTTGGCCTGTGGTGTTCAGGATATTTGGGTGCTTACGCTAACCCACTAACATCCACTAATGTGTTCAACTTTTCAGAGGTGAGTCTCTGGACAACCTGGACACCACGACCCGCTCTTCTTGGCGCTCATCGTGGTCAACCTCATCCATCCCGAACTACAACTGGCCTCAATCTGCCCTTTCCAGCCTCAACACCACATCCTCCTACGGCGATGGTGGCTACGGCAGTGGTGGCTATGGCGATGGTGGCGGCGGCGGGGTCCGAGGTCGTCCAGGCTCAGCCACCCTGCCCTCCTCCCTCTCCATGAGCTCCCTCAGAGGATCCGGGGGGAGCAACCCGTCTTCTGGGTCCAAATGCTCGTCATCGCCATCTCCCTCCCCCACTCCTTCTCCTGGCCTCGAACGCGAGTCACGCCCATCCTCGCAGCAACGCAGCAGGTAAACATCCAACTTCCAATCACATGGCAGAATGCTGCTTACCAAAATAACTGAGTAGGTAGATTTGCTCCCATATACAGTGTCAGATATTGGAGGTAAAAGTCTGATTCTAGATCTGGGGTTAACGGGTAACACCAATTTGGGAGAATCTCTTATTCAATGGCTTAAAGTGATGTACAGTGAGGGGAAAAAAGTATTTGATCCCCTGCTGATTTTGTACGTTTGCCCACTGACAAAGAAATTATCAGTCTATAATTTTAATGGTAGGTTTATTTGAACAGTGAGAGACAGAATAACAACAACAAAAATGTTAGCTATTAAAATCAGATCCAACAATAATATCAAGGGTTTAGAAATCCAGGGCTTAAAAACAAAGCTGACGATTCATGTTTTCTTTTAAATCCACAATTTGGATCCCTGCACAGCCTCATAGAGGATCTAGATAATGTTTCTAACCTCTCTGGATTACAACCAAATTATTACGTATTGGATCGCTAAAAAATACAACTTTTACATTATCGTGTAGTTTACAAATAAAATGGTCTGACTGTGAACTGGACATACTCTGTATTCATATCCCGAAAGAAAGAAATGATCTCAATACAATACATTTTTATAGAAAGTTAGCAATAATAGATACTATCTTGCTACCATGGAAAAGACAATACCTGTCTATTTGTGAAAAAATATACAGTATATTTACAAAGAAATATATATGAAGGATTGGAAATTATGCAGACAATTACATTGATAGATTGTGGGTTCTATCTGCAATATTAAAGCTAATCTACACCCTGGGATTACACTCCACCAAGCAATCCTCCTCAACAAAACTTCACTGACGCTAGCCCAATGTTATAAATGCTGAATTTCCACGCAGAGTCCTTAGTGCGGTCCGTGGTAAAAACACAAATTGTTTACTGAACCACTCGAGGTATGCTTAGTGGAATGTAAATACAGTCTTGTTGTTGCTTTCTAGCACTGTTTTTTATTTAACATGAGCTCCATGCATTTACTTCCTCAGGTTATTATGACCTTTGACCCAATGCCTTTTCCTGAACGTATTGGTGGGTCGGTGGGCATGTGTATTGGGGCGGCAGGTAGCCTAGCGGTTGGGCCTGTAACTGACTAGGTGAAAAATCTGTCTGTGTCCTTAATGTACTTAACGTAATTGCTCCTGTAAATCGTTCTGGTTAAGAGTGTCTGCTAAATGACTAAAATGTAAATGTATTCTCGGTTATCCAGGCTGTGTGTGTATTGTGGGTTCTCCAGTCGAGTCACGGTTCTGTGATCTGTAATCTCAGGTCAGTGAGTGGCAAGAAAATCTGTACGTTCTGTGACACGGCGCTGGGCAAGGGAGCCGCCATGATCATCGAGTCACTGGGACTCTGCTATCATTTGACCTGTTTCAAGGTGAGAGTTCAAAGTTCAAGACCGGACCTCCCTGAATTGGAGACTGAGGTTGTGATTGGTCCATTGCAGAGACTAAACCTGCCTGGTCATCTCAGTACTAACCTTATCAACAGAATGAGACTGTCCTAATATGGACACCATGACCCTGATCAATGTGATACTAACCTAAACAGCATGAAGGGATCACAATCTGGTCTGATCCTGTATAACGACACATACAAAACCAAGGAAACAGAAGTCCAAAGTGAATAGTAACTTCCAATGATTACCATTTATTTATGGTTTCCAGTTTAACTTGACTGGAGTAATGTTTCCACTAACTTTTCAGTTAATTGAAAAATACACTATCTTCCAAATTCTCTAAGCTCTAAAACTTGCTACGGAAATGGCAAACAGTATTGGCACATTGTTTTAATGGTTTTCTGAATGTGTCATGAAATCTGATTGCATTTGTGCTAAACCCCACTAATCAATCCTTCACCTCACTATTTCCTAACACGAACACACTTTATTTTGATTAATTCATCCTGGGGCTTCTGACATCACAACAAGCTTCCAAAAGTCCCTACATGTATGCTTGGGCTTGAACTGTCAGTTTCACTAATCTCATTGGTCTCTCTGTCTCTGTCAGTCTAGTGTCAGGTGTGTCTCATTTGCTCTGTCTATCTGGTTGTGGCTCCGTGGGTATATGTCTTACCACTCTCCCAATGGCTGCTCCTTCTGTGTCTGTGGAACTCGTCTTTCCTCCAGAGGGCAACTGTCCTCTCCTCTCCCCATCTGGGAGTGAGGGATCTGGGCTAGCTCTCATTGACCGTTCCCCTCTCTCCCTAACTTCCAGTGCATTGACTGTAAGTCCGACCTGGGAGGATCGGAGGCCGGAGCTGAGGTCAGAATACGGAACCGACAGCTCTACTGTAACTCCTGCTACATGCGATTCAAGAGTGAGTATGACTGACTTCAGCCGGGTACCAGTTGAAAAGTGAGGCAACTAGATTATAAAACTCCATAGTCCTATTTGACCGGTATCGCCAATAGTAACAGGATTCCTGTTACTATGTGTCCTGTTGTGTTGTGTTGTGTCAGTTATATTATGTTTAGTTGTGCCGTGTCATTTAGTAATATGCTGTGTTTGCATTATCGAATAGTATCATTTGGTATCATGTTATAACCTCTATCTTCTTTCTCTTCTAGCTGGACAGCCAACCTCCATGTGACATCGCTGTACTACAGCAGATAGAGGAAGAGACTATTCTTGACAACAACCCATGAACACTGCAAGCACGGCAACAAGCCGTAACACTTTGCTAGATGACAACTTTAGATGTATTAATGTGTATTATGATTCTGAAAAAAGCCCTTATTCTTCAATGAACTACTAGCTTATTATTTATTTTTACTGTGTGCATGAGACGGTGAGATTGACCAAAAAAGTTAACATGTTTATGTCATAGTATTATTATTACCAATTGCTTGTACAAATTATGAGGGACGTGCATGCACCTGCAAGTTTGAGACTTTTACCAGGAAATAGGGTTGGAAAATTATGAAAACTTTCACAAAGTTCCCAGGTTTTTCACAATCCCGGATGGAGGGTTTGGTGAATTTTGCAACCCTAGCTGGAAACAATACTGGAAATTGATGTTGGTGTTGTCCATAAGATTATTGATCCTGATTACTTCATATTTCAGAGACGTAAGAGTTTTCGTGCTAGGCTGAGGGAAGCCTGCAGTTTCTTCTCCTTTAGGGTTCCTTTTCAGCTCCACCTTTTTTGTTTGAGATGGTGGGAAGATTATTTACATTCAAAAGATATTTAAAAAACTGGCATGGTTGGATAGAGAGACTGAGGACTTATTGGGGAGTTGTTCTTTCTCATTATTTGAGTGAATCTTATACATTTGAGATGTTAAGATTTTCTTTGCCAGAGAAAAAATATATAGCGTATGGGATTGAGGTAAATGTTGTTCAATAACATTTTTAAATAAAAATTGTGATCCCGACTCGGACTTCGTCTTTTTTAAAAGCAGGTAACTGTATTTTGTCATTCTATTTTGTACCATGATAATTATGACAACAGGAGTCTGTCTCTTGCTGTCTATTAGTGCTGAGTGATTATCCAAAATGTCAGTTATTCTTTCAGTTTTTAAACAACTAATTGACCGATATTTCAATTATTTAAATACCATTTAGTTCTTTTTTCTTCTTCTGTGAGATCACTGCTCAGTTTCTGTAGAGATAAATCAGATCAAGCCCGAACTGTGCAATATAGTAGGGAGTTGTAGTTTCCAACATGCCAATGTTCTACATAGTTATGCACAGAAAATGTGGTAATTAACTACAATGATCATAATCCATTGCGCTTGTCCAGTTTCGGTCTGTGTGGAGCAGAAACTTGACAGAGACAAGTGAGAAAGCGCAAGAGGGATAGAAAGCATACCTGAAAAAACATGATCTAAGTGATTTATAGTTGGTATTCAGCGGTCATAAAAGTATGCCTTATTTTGAAGAACTACTAAAATACTGATTTTGTTAGACAACATAAGGAGCAGAAATCATCATCAAATATTTTATTTTATTTTATTTTAAATGATTGATAAATGATAAGCCGTAATGGGCAGTCACAACCATCATGGGACTTTTAGTAATTGTTTTATTCTGTGTTACAGCATTCAATCCACATAACGCATACCGCATTTTTAATGTCTTTAGAAACCGAAAACGTGATTACTTTTTACAAATTGAACCAAAAATGAACCAACCTCAAAAAGCACTAATCGCTCAGCACTACTGTCTATCTCTCCTATCTGTCTTCCCTGTTCTCTCTCATTCGCTATCTCTATCTTCTATGGTATCTCTCTCTCATTGTTTATCAAAGAACGATGAATTGACGGGTTTATGCGGATACGGATAGATTTCCAGCATTGTGCTTCATTTGAGAGTGCGTGTCTTTCAGCCAAAAAGTGATGGGGCTTTTCAGCTAAATGAAATAAACAGGAGTTAGGCAAGACTTTCCAGCCTTCAGTGCTGTGGCTATGTAATGTAATCCGTCACCAGACTGACTAACAGAATCAGAGCGGATCTCACTCTCTTTGATTATGCACGTTTGACTATGAATGTGAATTTGTTCCACCTCAGCTCAGCCAATCAGAAAACCGGGCTGGCCCATCTTGATAGGGGGGCCTACCAAGATTTGGTCAGCCAAATGTTCGATATAGGCTGTTATGACAACAGAAAAATGGCGCAAAAGTCAGGCTCAATGGCTGCCGGCCGTGTCCAGTAATTCTTGCATTTTGGCCAATCCACCAATGTTAGAAACCTGCTGACACTAATCCACCTGCGTTCTGAATTGATTCTATTTTAGTCCTGTCATTGCAGTTAATGATGTCTCCATGGTTGCCATGGTGGGCAGACTCTGTGGCTCACTTGAACATGTCCTCTCTGACTTTACAGAAAGGATTAAAGAGCATAATGTGTGAAAGGAAGTGGATGTGTTTTATATGCAATGGACGTCAACAAATGTGTTTTTAAAGAGAAAACACAAACACAGAAAAAGGCCTTACAATTAACTGACGGGATGTCATAGCAGACAATAAAATCATAAGGGGCTTGCCATGCAGCTCCACAGGCCGTGTTCGAGAGCATCAAAACTGTGATGTATCATGGGTAAATTGTGACCGTCTGATCTACAATAATATTGAGCATTTATTTAGGATGCAAGGTAATTTGTAGATCAGGTAATCTCTACTTGCCTTAAAAGTGGTAGTTTTTGTGATCGCTTGATAGTTGATTGATTGACGGATTGATTTTATTTGCTACTTTTAAAAAACAGAGAACATACATTGTAAAAATGTGACAGGGATATCACAAAAAAGTCAAAGTTCTTTCCATTGTAGTCCCTATAGTGCATAGTGCAAAAACAGACACATTGCATAGATAAAGACATGAAAATGCTTTCTATTCTTCGTTCTTTGGCCAGCTTTTGAGGCTCTTTTAAAATGTCATTGTCGGTATGGCTTTGAGTTGCTGTGGCAGTTTGCTCCACTTTTGAGGCAACAGTGCCAGGAATGGTTGCTGCAAAAAAATTATATTGAAAATGAGCAACTATTATCTGGGGAATTTTGTTTGGCACCGCCACCTAGTGGGCAAACTTTTACGAATCCTCCAATCAGAGCACGTCACATTGGTCAAGTGATCAGTCTACTGGTCTCAAACTTTTTTGGCAAGCGACCCCCCCTTTTTGATATAAAAAATAATAATAAACGACCCCAGCATGTAAAAGAGTTATGTAATCGACTGCCAATGTTAATTTTTTTGTGCTATGACAGACTATTACAAATCAGTCTGACAGTATTTTAGACAGTATTTCAATCTGTAGACAGGGTGGTTTGAACTGACTGAATTGCATCAGAAAATAATTGCGAAGTTCAGAAGATCAGCTAACGAGGTAACTTTGCTCAACTCGTGTTCAACTCGGGATAACTGGTACCACGAAAGTGGCTCACTTTCAGCAGGTACATTTCTATGGGAACAAATCTCACAAGCCTCCTTTTTGACGTGTGTTTGTTTTTCATACCCTGCCACGCTGCCGTTAGTTCCCCTGCTCAAACTTCTGCTTCATATTGATGCTCGTCTGATGGCCTACTTGGCTTCCATATTTTAAATGTTTTTACCTTTACATAATGGCTAGTTAGCTATTTCCCTTTGTAAATTCAACACTCGTATAATAATCCAATATCTTATGACGATGTCTTAACGTTAAAGTATGGTGTTCACTAGCAAAAGTTTTCCCGGTCCTCTTCTTCGTCTTCTGACTGTTTATCAAGCCTTCCCAACTGGAGGCCCACGGGTGGTTTTGTATAACCCCCCAAAGTTTTCTGAGCTTATATATTTTTGGAATCTTCATTGTTGGACAAAAGACTGTAAGTCATGTGTGATCGTAAAAGCATTTTGTGAAATACTATATGTCTGGGCTCCTTGCGGTCAATTTGGTTGTTTGATAATGGATGCAGATTGGAAGAGCAGTGTTCCAAGTCGTGCACACTATGCCTGCCAGTGTTGTGTTCGAGACCACCTAAAGGAAGATCTAGTCAATAACAACACCGAAGGGGGGTCGAGACCGAGTCAAGACCTAGTCCGGGATGGGAGCAAGTGGTTCGAGACCAAGTCAAGACCGAGACCAGAAAAATACTTATTTTCCACCATAATTTGTAAATAAATTCATTAAAAATCCTACAATGTGATTTTCTGGATTTTTTTTCCTCATTTTGTCTGTCATAGTTGACGGGTACCTATGATGAAAATTACAGGCCTCTCTCATCTCTTTAAGTGGGAGAACTTGCACAATTGGTGGCTGACTAAATACTTTTTTTCCCCACTGTATGTGAACGGCGACCTCCTACAAGAGATATGGCAATATGTGAATTTCTGAAAGATCAAATCAATTTAATCAATCAATGCAATTCAGGGATGTAAAGGCTGTCAAAGGTATTAACAGGCAAAGCTTGAACATATCACGCAATGGCAAAACTCAACGTTGGTAGTTGAACTGCTATATCAACTGGGGTAACTTCAGGCAACATCCTCATCATTATACCCTTCAACTCCTACATTTATCTGACTTCTCTATTTGGCTTTTTAAAACGCCAGAAGTCATCTGAATACGCATTCCCCTAACTGCTCACTGAGAGAAATGCCTTTTCTCCTGAGTACTTATTAAACGTGACTTGTGAACTCCCTTTTCCCTCTTCTCCTCTCCTCTCCGCTCCTCCTGTCTGTCACTTGCTTCCCTTCTGTTCTCCTCTCATCTCTCTCCTTCCCCTCTCTTCTTTTCTCCTCTCCTCCCCTCTGCCATCTCATCCCCTCTCATCCAGTCTCCTCTCCTCATCTCCTCTCTTCCATATGTCTCTCCCTCCTTCCTTCCCCCTATTCTCTCGTCCCCCCCATCCTCCATCATATCAGATTTGATGGGGCTCATTCTATATTGACATAGGAACAGCAAGTTACAGAGTTGAGGGTACACACCAAAGGGCGTTTTGGGGCTGATAAAAGGTATCGTGCCAAAAATGATCGGACTATTGTATTTCTCTAGATGCCACGTTACACCATAGAGGAGGGTAGGCTTTGTATCTGAGCTGCACTTTTGCCTTAGCTGGTACTTACAGTTGAAGTCGGAAATTTACATAAACCTTAGCCAAATACATTTTAACTCAGTTTTTCACAATTCCTGACATTTAATCCTAG